GGCTGGGGACAGGGAAGAAGAGAAAATATTGTCTTGCAAGGAAATCATGGCCTCGAGGAAATGAGGGAAAAGCTGAAGTCATTTCAGAAATACTGGACGAAGTGATGTGGGGCAGGCTGGATTCTCTGATAATTCAGGATTGTGGTACACACGGGAGTAGTTTCTGCCAAGAGGTTCAAGTGGTCCACTAGCACGGGCCCTGACCCCAAGCCCCTGCGTCCCCTCCACTGCCAAGGGGCTGAGGGAAGGTGATGTGGTAGGGCCGCCTGGCCCACAGCAGAGTGCCCAGCTTCTCTCACGCAGCCTCAACCTCACCAAATCAATTCTTTTTGGCTACACTAAGCAGAACCCTCAGCCATGGCAGGTTTCGTAGTTACCCCTGGAGATCAGCCATTTCTTTCTCGCCATGGCCTGACCGGACGCAACTGTTGTCCACATGTTGTCCGCTGTGCACTGACAGATGAATATCCAGTGATGGCAGTGTTAAGGTCTTGAAACCAAAACCCAGCTGTCTTCTTCTTCAAAGGATCCCTCTTTTCCCCTGTTGGGAGGCCAGGGTTCACAGCTGAACCTTATCCAGTGGCGTTTCCTGTACCGCTTCATTAGTGCTGGCACAATGGCTCTGCCCGGCCTGCAGAGCTGCAGGTGAGGCTATGGAGCCCCTCCACTCCATTCTGTGCGTGTCTGTCATCATGGAGTAAACACTACTTCCCAGTCCAGAGACAGGAAACAAACACTCCATTACACTGCTCGTCCCTGGACATCTAAAGGAGTTCCAAACATCTCTGGGCCTGCTCCACCTGCTACCTTCATGCAACCACTCGGAGTCCGCAATGCTGAGAGAGCACCACCGTGCAGTGGGCTCAGTCCAACTAGGGCCCAAAAAAAACAAACAACCAAGGGTCCCTGCATTCAGGAAGGCCATGGTCCTAGTGGGGAAAAGAGACATATACAACAAAATAGTTTGTGTGAGGGGAGTTGGAACTCTTTTCCAAGGGCTTTATTTAGCTCAGGCTTTGGATCAAGTTATATAATTATCATGGCCAATCAGCAGAGCCTTCCTTGATGGGGAAAAGCCAAAATGGGACAAGCCTGCTTCCTAGGCACTGGCCACGATTCATGCTTCTCTCACCAAATTGTGGCTCGGGTAACTTTGTCCCAGGTTCTGCCATCACTTCCCTGGCCTAACAGTTAAATGGAGAGGCTTTTGTTTCGTGTGAGGCAATACAAAGTCTTAAACTTGAGAAGAACTCAGGGAGCATCCGAGTATTCCTACACACATTCCTATATCACAGGCCCTTGTAAGATGTGCAGGGGCAAGGTTCGAGACATAGTGCTTAGAGTCCAATGACTCACGGTAAAAATCACCTGTAAAAGGCCCTTCAGTTGCCCCCAACATAGAGCAGACATGGTTTTATAGACACAAAGTAGCTGGCCTGAGTTTGCGGGGGGGCGGGGGTGGTGGGACACATACTGAATGAAAACTGTCTATGCTCCAATCTGTCAGCTTGGTGAGCTGCTTACCCTCCAGCTGAACTCAGGAACTGAGTCCGACCGAGGACAGATGACTTACATTTCTAATCTCGCTCCACTGAATGGACTGTCAGGATAATCATTCCCACTGTTTTGTGTATATACGCATGTGTCTAAGTGACCTTGTATAAGTGTACATATGATGGGATCCCACTCCAGTGTCATAAGTATTTAGATAGAAAACCATTACAAATTTTAAAAAGCTCTCCCACATCTCTTGCTAGTAGTTGAGTTCAAAGACATCAGATGAGGCCAAGCAAGACAGGGGTGTGTGAGATGGGGAGCAATGGAGGCAGACACTGACCAAGCCAAGGAAGGTGGTCACTTGAGAGAATAATAGCTGTGAGCAGGACGTCAGAGTTCAAGCACAGGCAGGAGGAAATCCTCCTGTAGGGGCCACCAGGCCCAGACTGTTGGAGTCTGAGTGGGGTGAGAAGGGTTTCCTCGTAAGGGAAAGTCAGGGCTCCAGCAAGATCAGGAGAGAAGAAACACAGAAGGTGGCTTGGCTTAGAACGTCAGAACTCAAGATGGGGGTAAAGCGGTGTGTCAGTAGGGGCAAGGCCTGGCACTGGGTAAGAAAGCATCTATGTCAGGAGAAAGAGGTTGACTAGACTGGTGTTGGAACCTAAGAGGAATAAAAAGAGCATCAGGAAGGGAGTTCAGTGTGGGATGTCAGAGCCTAAGCGGGTAGGAGGGCTTCTAGGAAGGGTGGTGGGGCAGAGTCCAAGGAGGTCCACAGTAGGAGGAGGCTGCAGTGTCTAAGAGGTCAGAGTCCAAGTGCGGTGAGAAGGACAGCCACAGAGGAAAGGAGCTACCGCTGTGAGAGTCTGATTGAGATCGATCAAGCATGTAAATATAAAATGGAATTACTACGATCAGAGAAGAGAGTTACAAATATGGACCAGGAGAAAACAGAAATGAACCTATGGTGTCGTACTGGAATTAAATGTAACTGTGTGAAATCATGGAGACAAATAAAAGAAATAGAAACACAGTATATGTATGTACATACATATGTGTATATATACATTATATATACATAGATTCTCCAGCTCTAGCCACTGAGGGGCCCTGGAAGCAGAGAGAACCCAATTATAATGAGCATGCTTAGTGTCCAGATCTTGGTTTCTAAGTACCATTCTTCACCAAAAGGAAGCAGAGCTCCTTAAAGAAGGGGAAAAAAAAAAAAAAAGAAATGTCTGATTCCAGAGCTAGGGCTGGGAAATATCTTGTTGTGCTAGGAAAAAGGCAGTGTTCAACACATGATTAGGACATGACAACAGGACACAAAAGCCAGTGTGGAGGGGCTCCTGTTGACAAAATCTGTGACAATCTGAGCACCAAACCAAATAATAATAGAAAGAGAGTATGTAATAATAAATAAAATAGGAAATTACAAGTCTGTGCTAATATAATTAAATGAATCGGAAGTCT